TAGGCAGCACAGCAGCCTGCACCTCTTGCAAAGCCTTCTCTTGTTCTAGATCCCATTCAAAATTAGCAGCTTTTTAAATAACTGGATAAATAGGCTGAAGCAGTACACCCAAATGAAGGATATGCTGCCTTTAAAACAGAAAGAGGCCCACTAAGCATTGTCTCTTTAGTTGTAGGAGGGGCATAATGCAAAAACTTATCCTTCATTTTAGAAGGAATATCTTGACATGCCCCACATCATTGGATTCCTAGTCATTTCAATGAGGTGGAAGGCACCTGAATGTTTTGTCAGATTAATTTCCTACCCTCTAGCACGCAAATAGGAGCCCTGGTGGCATAATGCCTAAGGTATTTGACTGCTAACCAGAAGGCTGGCAGTTCAAACCCACCAGCCACTCCTTGGAAGGAAGATGGGACAATCTACTTTCATAGTGTACTACCTCGGAAACCCAAGGAGGGGTCGCTATGAGTCGAAACTGACTTGACGGCAGCGAGTCTGGTTTTTTGGTAGCATGCAAATATCTTACCAGTAAGTCTAGAATCATTGGTACTTCTTTCATACTAGTTTCAATTTGCACAATACCATCAATGAAATGGACTAGTGTGACAATTGGAAGGGAAAGGTGATCAGGGTCCCTGCAGACTAAACTATTATACAGAGTTAATATATCTATGGGAGCTCTGGTAGCATAGTGGCTAAGACACTTGCCTGCTAACCAGATGGCTGGCGGTTCAAACCCACCAGCCACTCCTCGGAAGGAAGGTTGGGCAATCCTACTTCTGTAGTGATACTGCCTCGGAAACCCAAGGAGGGGTCGCTATGAGTCGGGGCCGACTTGACGGCACATAACAACAACAACAACAATGTATCTATGAGGTAAGACAGTACAGGTATATTGCCAGCCTTGCCAGCTAAAGACAAACTGCTTCTGGTGGCCCTTCAAAACAGGTATGGGGAAAAAGGCATTAGCTAGATCAACAGCTACATATCAGGTACCAGGAGATGTATTAATTTGATCAAACAATGAAACTGCATCTGGAGCAGCAGCTACAATTGGAGTCATCACCTCGTTAAGATTTTGATAATCCACTGTCAGTCTTTAAGTCCATCTGTTTCTTGCACATGTCAAAGACGTGAGTTAAATGGAGATATGGTGGGAATCACTACCTTTGTACCCTTCAAGTCCTTGATGGTGGCACTAATCTATTGTAAACCTTCTAGAAATGTGATATTGCTTTTGGTTTACTATTTTCCTACGTATGAGCAGTTTTAATGGCTTCCACTGGCTTTTACCATAATAGCCTTTACTCTATGTATCAGGGATGCAATGTAGGGGTTCTATCAGTTGCTGAGTATGTCTATTCCAATTATGCATTCTGGAATTGAGGAAATCACTATTGGGTGGGTTTAAGGACTCACTGTGTGAAAGACTTGAGCTAAGACTCCATTAATAACCTGGCCTCCATACAACCCCGCTCTGACTAGTGAGCCACAGTGACATTTTGGGCCTCCAGGAATTAGTGTCAGTTCACAGCCAGTATCCAGTAGTATCCAAAAAGTCTGATTACTTCCTTTTCCCCAATGAACATTCTCATAAAAGGCTGTAGAACCCGCTGGGAAAGGCTAGAAGATTAAAAGCATAAATTTTTGGCAACGTAGTGGGGTCCTTCCTCAAGGAGACCTAGCTTCCCCTTCATTCAAAGTTTATTGATCTGTAAACTGGCTCAAGTCTGGGAATTAATAGAGGGACCATAATTCTCTATTCTGGTGATTCAAGTCAGATTGCTATTCATTGACCTAGAATTCTTTCTCTTGTGCAGATTAGCTAAATATTTAGTAGATTTCACATCTATTTCACTATCCTAGGGACACCACAACTAAGTAGCCAATGCCATCAATTCACAAGTTACATTATTTGGATGACTGCTTTGACTCTGCTGTCCATTATGGTAACCAAGCCTACTTTGCCTTTGTTGATTGTGCTGCCACTTGGTCCTTACCACTATGGAGTCCAATCTGTCCCCCTGCAGTCTGTGTCTTAATTCAGTTAGGCTAGTTCTTCCTGTCAAATTTGACTTACATAAAATAGCAATAACAGCAGTTATTGCTGGGGCACCATTCACAAATCTATTCCTCAGTACTGTGGTAAAAGGTGTGTCCTCTGGCTACTCCATGAGTGGGTGTGTAGGTCTAACCTGATAAACTCATTCTAACATGCCAATTTCTCTAAGATTTTCTTCCACAGTACATTAAGCCAGTTTTGGCATTTCAATTTGATTTAAGTATAGGCCACCACTTAATCCATGCTTTAGTGGACTGACCAAATAAATTATTAGATCCTTTTCTAACCTTTCCAGCTGAAATATTTAATATTATGTACTCAGCGGACTTCTATCAATAAAATCAGACTGAGTGAACTTTATGTTGTTTGCACCATTGTTCCCCACCCTTAATAGCCATTTCCATACAAATTCCCCAGTTTTGTTTTGTTTTTTTTTTGTATATATTAGAAAAATCAAGTAGTTTTTTTGGAATGTAGCATACATACTCCAGGGTCACACTTTATACTTTACCACTTGGGGTTTGCTATACTCAAGTGTAGCCATAAGTCTAAAAGCAAAAATGGGTAGTGGTGATGGGTCTTGGGGACATTCAGCTATGTCTTGTATGGTCATCTGCCTCAGGTGATATCCCAGCCAACTCCCCTGGTGGTATCTCAGACAAAGACTCTTCAGGCACAAATTAACTCTTCAGCTAATTTCATTAGATGAAGGTGAAAGGGAAAATAGTTTTACTGGGAAAGGTGGCTTAGCAGACAAAGGGAGTAATCTTTTTAGATGAGAGAAAGAGTACTGGTTCTGTTGGCAGGAGTCATTCAATGGGATTTAAAGGCTCAGCGTCCCCCGTTTCTTAATTGTCTGCCCATAAATGCCCATTTCAAGACTCAAGATTCCATTTATTCCCAATCAATGGCCTCATTTTAACTTCAGACACCATTTGAGGTTCAGAATTCAAATGGCCTTATAATTCAGTCAGGTCTCATGATAAGACTCTGGGTTTGGTTTTTGGCAATATCATCAGCTCTGTTATTATAAGAAATAAGGCTTTCTTTCAGGGCACAAGTGGCAATTTTCAGGGCTTGTATGAGGCACTTGAGCTGTGACTCTGAAGCTTTGAGTATACTTCACTTTGTCTAGCCAAAGAAAGACCATCCAACCAGCTTCATTATACTTCTCATTTTGACAAAACTATACAAAGTATCAAATATGCAACCACCCAGAGCCTTGTCTCTCAAAAATATTTAATCCATTGGTGGGGATATTTTGCATCTTTCTATTGCCACCTCACATCATGAATTAGCAATGTCTTCTTTATTACCAGCGGCAGTCATTAGCATTTTTAAGATTAGCCACACTTGAGAGTGAATTCAGAAAACCTCTTATGATTTTCTTCTTCTAGAACCACTCTCAGTACCAAATGCCTTAGGCTGGGTTCTCTAAAGGAGCAAAACTAGTAAAGTGTATAGATAGAGATAGAGAGAGATTTATTTCAAGGAAATGGCTCATGCAGTTGTGGAGGCTGCTAAATCCCAAATCTGTGCATCAGTTGTCAGGTTAGAAGCTTCTCCTGACTCATGTGATTGCAGGGGCTGACAAACCCAAAACTGGCAAATCAGATAGGCTGCTGGCCCACATCCCAAAAACCAGAAGTCAGAGGATGACGACTCAGATGTAGGATCAAGAGCAAAAAGTGACAGAACAGCCATATATATTAGATGCAAGCCAAATCTCCAAAGAATCTGATTAGCTATCAATTGACTGGCTGCTCACATCAGATAACAAAATGGAGGATTATATTATATTACACTACAGAACAGCAAACGACTAAGAATCATAGCCTAGCCAAACTAACAGTAGCATTAACCATTACAAACCCCAATTGATCCTAATGTGCACTCAAGATCCGTCCCACCCCACAGTTTGCCTTCTTCTACTGTATCTTTTATTAATAAAGGATGCCACCATCTACCTGGTCATGTGAACTAGTAACTCAGCAGTTATGCTTGGGATGTCTCTCTCCTTCATCTGCCTACATCCAATCCATCACTAAAAACTGTCAAATTTACTGCCTAAATGTCTTTGGAATCTATTTACTTCTCTCCATCTCCATTGCTACCACCTAACCACAAACTAGCATCATCCCTTAGCAGTTTTACAGCAATAAATTTCTCTACTGGTTTCTCAAGACACTCTCTTCAAAATATAAATTGATACTGTGACTTCCTTCCATCCCGGCAATAAAATGCCCTAAGGGGCTTTTAAGATAAAGTCAGATGATCTTAACAAGGCATAAGGCCCTGCTGCATAATCTTTGGTGTCAATTTACCCACTAATGTTATGGCTCAATTCTGTTTTTGTCCCCTGTTCTCTACCTAAAACCTATTTCTTTCAGTTCTTCCTACTTTTTTTCCTATGATGCGGCCTTTGATATGTGGTTTTCCTTGCCTGGAACTCACTTCCCTCTCCTCTTCACCTACTTAACTCTTCTTCCTTTCAGTGCACAGCTCAATCACTACTTCCCTGGACAAGACTTCTTTAAATCGCCCAGGCAAGGATCTATCCCCATGACAAAAACCCCAATCCTAAACTAACCCCACCACCTGTTCTCATGTCTGGACCTGAGCCATCAACTATTGCTAGAAAAAGCCACAGATGTGCTCTCCCAACCTCAAATGCACTCTTCAGAAAGGACTGCCACTGTCATATGAGTAGTCATAGTACAGTGTACCTCTATTTCATTGCCCTTACTAAAATTCTAATTTAACATTTATCTCTGTCATGCTATCTGTCTATTCTCCTCCTTTAAGCTTCCTGAAAACAGTCTACTTTTTTTTTCTCACCAATGTATTCCTACTGCTTAGCCCGAGCACTTGCCAGAGTTAATTCTTAAAATTCAATTCTCAAATAGAAGCTAAAAATCCTTGAAAGGAAGTGGTTTACCTTGTAAATCTTCCATCAATTCAAACATTCCAGGATAGTTAACTTGAATTTCATCAGTGTCCTATTTAAAAAAAAAAAAAAAATTCATTTGATATTCATGATGGAAAACCCAGACTTGAAAGGGGGCTATAGAGATTGCCCAGATAAATCTCTCATGGTAAGCAGTAATTTCTTTACAATGTTCTTCACAGATATCATGCAGTGTATGCTTAACATATAAAGATTTCAAATTTCCAAATAAATATTCCTCAGGCTAAGAGAAATCATCCTAAAACTCCACCAACTGGTTCTAGCTTGCTCCTAGGAAACAAGCAAGGGTAAGTCTATTTTCTACTCTACAGCCCATCACCCTCTTTCTTAAGACTTTGAAAACTCTCCCAGGAAACCATAATTTTTTTAGGGAGGGATATGTCTTCCAGATAAGACATAGATTCTTATACACTGTGATACAGTTCTCTAGACACAGAGTGCAAAACCCTAAAGAACACTCATAAAGAACATCCATTCTCACTCATGATATGAAAGAAATACAAAACAAACTGGCAAACTACCTTTTTAACCTCAGATACACAAAATAAAGTAAAAAAAGACCTTTTTTTTAAACTTACCAGGTTGACAGAAATAAAAAAAAGTTTGGTAAGAGCCTATAGGTTGTTTGGTTTTGTGTAAAAAGGAACTCACCTATACTGTTGCTTGGGCAGTAAGTTGAGGCTACCTTTTAGAAAGTAACTGTATTATATCAATCAAAATTTGAAATAGATTCTTTGATCTAGCAACTCCATTGCCAGAAATTTACCTGACATATGGGCTAAGATTACGGGAAAGGAAATTCATCGCACTGTTGTTTCAAAGTGTAAAATAAAAAGCAAACTAACTAATTAGAAACAATGTCCATCAATACAAGACTAGTTAAATAAAGTTTATCTATTCAAAGAAATACTAGGCAGCTGTTAAAAACAAAGAATGCATATAAGGGAAGATTTCCAAGACATGTTATTGACTGGGAAGAAAACTATATAGGAAAAAAGCAAAACTGTACGATTTTGCAATATGTAGGTTTAAAAGACATAATTATATCTGGCTTTGAGAAGAAGAAACCATTCTGAAAGGATATAAGACAGAGACTTATTTTCATTTTAGACCTTGCTCTCTCTTTCTCTCATTCCCTCTATATGACACTTTTTTTCTTTTTTTTAATATAAACATCAGTTAAGTTGTGTGTGTACTTCTTAGTAAAGCATTTCTGGGTGATGCGATCATAACTACTTCATTTACATACATTTTGGCATTAAGAAACTATTTTTGAAAATAGATCCTAAGATTAAAACAAAATTCCTTCCAGGCTGCATTCTAGCCGTTAAGCAATACTTCGAAAACGATTCTTTAAGGAAGCAAACTAAAAGCATTTCTCTAGTCAATCACAAGAATACTACAAAATCTTTATCAAAGGCCTTATTCAAATTAAAATAGACAGCTTTCTCCTAATGTACAAGTCTGGCTGCACTATTCTAAGAGGAAATGAGCACCATTTAAAATGCCAATTCACTCTGAAAATAATTCACTAAGAGAGTCATATAAATGTAAATACAACTAACTATTTATTTGACTCAATTTCATTTTAAAGGATAAAAATCCATTGTATTTTCAAAGTAATATATTCATGTTGTATGCAGCATAAACCTCTAAAATTGATTATGTAAATTTTTTCATCACGAATTTTACAAAGTGAATTAGGATACAATACTAATGCAGTACTTTAGAAATGCTTTGTCTCAAGGGATATATTTAGTGATTCAAGGTACAAATTCTTACAGATTCTTTATTAACAATCAGTGGCTTTCTAATTTTATAAACTATGAAGAAGATTCTGTATCAGTATTTTCACATTATATTAATGTTTGAATCAATTTTGAAGAATTTGGGGGATTTTCTGAATTAGGAGATTTCCCAATTAACAGAAATATAGGCTTTCAAATGCCATAATGTCAGTAGGTCAAACATGTTTGTTTAGTGGAAATCTTTCTAAAATGCATAACCCATACTATAAACATAGAAAACCATGTGTGGTTAAGGTAGTTTAACTTTCTCTTGATGACTCAAGATTGAAATCTCCTTATTTTTCATAATGGGCAACACACTTTGAGTTCCCGAATATAGGTGACTAAACTGTATGGCATGGCACAAATTATTAACCTAACTTCATGAAAATTTTCACCATACCTTTCCAAGTCACCCCCATTCCCTATTCTCCTCTCCTGCTAAAATTTTTAGAGGCTTTACATTATCAAAGAGTCTCTTTTACTCACCTCAATTATAGATTTATCATTTAGACATGCCGAAGGCATCCAAGGAGGGATCTCTTTAAGTTGGGTCCAACTCAACAGCACATAACAACAACAACAACAACAACAACAACAAGGCATTTGACTGCTAACCAAAAGACTGGCAGTTCAAACCAACAGCCACTCCACAGAAGGAAGATGGGGCAACGTACTTCCATAAAGAATTACCGTCTCAGAAACTCAATGAGGCTCATTATAAGTCAGAATCAACTCTGGCAGTGAGTTGTTTTTTTTTTAAAGTCTACTGATAGGCTCTCTTATGTCTAAGAATATCAGGTTAAGAACATCTGTATGATTTTATTTCCTGAACTAAAAGTGAGTAATAGACAAAGGTTATGAACAAGCAATTCAAAGAAAAGGAAATACAAAAGGCTAATAATTATGACTAGATGTTCAACCTAACCAGTAATCAGAAAAATGTATTTTTCTTTCCAAATATTTTATACAATGACTGAATATCAAGTGTTGATGAGAGTGTGGGATAAAAGATTTCTCATACATGGTTGGTAAGGAACAAATTTAATAAAGTCTTTCTGGGGGCAATATGGTAGTATCTGGAGCACATGTCCATTCAATGCAATAATTCTCTCTCTCAGTAATTAGACACACACACTCATTTAAGTGCACTAATTTAAGTGCACCCTCTGCTTGGACACTTCCCCTCCAGGGAAGGCCCTCTTCCCTGCATTGTTGTTGTTGTTATGTGCCGTCGAGTCGGCCCCGACTCATAGCGACCCCTCCTTGGGTTTCCGAGGCAGTATCACTACAGAAGTAGGATTGCCCAACCTTCCTTCCGAGGAGTGGCTGGTGGGTTTGAACCGCCAGCCATCTGGTTAGCAGGCAAGTGTCTTAGCCACTATGCTACCAGAGCTTCCCTGCATAGCTCATTCTTTTACTTCTACTTATTTTCTTGAGTTGATATTCAAGTATTATCTTCTTAGTAAGGTATTGCTCTCTGGCCAACTGACCTAAAAGTTCAACACATTACCACACATTTCTGTTTCTCATATTCTGTTCTACTTATTTGTATTTAGCACATAATACTCTCTAGCATATCACTTACGTTATATTGTTTATTATCTATCTCCGCTACTAGAAATTTTTGGCAGAGATTTCTGTTTTGTTCACTGTTATATCAATAGCACCTAGAAAAGTACCTGATGCATAGAGGGTATATAATAAATATCTGTTGCAAGACTGGATAAATAAATGAAGAAGGAATAGAACATTCACTGAAGTATTCTTCCTACTGGCAAAAATTAAAATAAACATAAGTATCATTAATTAGGGAAACAGTTAAAAAAAAAAAAAAAACCCTATTGTCATGGAGTCAATTCCAACTCATGGTGACATCATGTATTACAGAGCACTATTTCACAGGGTTTTCTTAGCTGTAATCTTTACCAAAGAAGTTCACCAGGCCTTTCTTCCATAGTGCCACTGGGTGGGTTCAGACCATCAACTTTTACATTAGTAGAGAAGTGTAAACTGTTGGCGCCACCCAGGGGCCTTATTAAGGAATAATATGCAGAAGTTAAAAAGGAAGACAAATGTATTTGTGTTGATATAGAAAACTCCAAAATATATGGTTAAGAATGAAAATAAGTTTAGAAATAGATATGTGTATGTATACGTAAGTAAGTATGTACAGTATGGCAAAGCATTTTTTTTTAAAACTGGAACATTACATATCGAACTGTTAATAGTAGCTACACTAGCACAGCAGCTCTCAAACTATGGTCTGGAGACCGCTGGGCTCCCTGGAACCCTTTTGGGGATTCACAGAGGTCAAACTCTTTTAATAAAAAATACTAAGATCATATTTGTCTCTTCACTTTTCATTCTCTTATAAATATAAAATGGAATTTTTCAGAAGCTACAAGATATGTAGTATCACAACAGATTCAAACACAGGAACAGATACGAGAATCCAGCTCTCTTCTTCCACCAAAAAAAAAATACTGACTGCTGTAAACGCATATCTGGCTCATGGTGACCCCTCCTTAGGTTTCCCAGGCAGTATCACTATGGAAGTAGATTGCCCAACCTTCCTTCCAAGGAGTGGCTGGCGGGTTTGAACCGCCAGCCTTCTGGTTAGCAGTCAAATGCCTTAGGCACTATGCTACCAGAGCTCCTAAGCTACATATTAAAGAAATTTGCCAAAATGTGAAAGAATGACATTCTTTTCTCTCAACTCTTTTGTTTTGGAAAATATGGTTTCTTTTTTATTAAAAAATCAATTATTTACATTAGCATGTAACAGGTTTATTACTGTAAGCTTTGAAGAATACTAAAACAATTCAGTTTTATTTCCTAATATGGTTAGTATTAATAGATATAAATCACATAAAAGGTTTTTTTTGTTTTGATTTGACTGATTGATTTATTTTAAGGTTTTATTTTTGCAGTATTTCCTACATTCCACTCCTATCCCTCATAACCAACATTCAATAATTTTTGAGACCAAAATTTCAAGAATTGATGCACTCAAGAGAGAGCTAACATTTTTGACATTAAGGTATTTGTAGACTTTAATGTTTATAACCAAAATACATTTGTGTATTATGTAATTAAAAATGTTTTAAAAGACACAGTGATCCTTCATCTGTACCTCACACCATACACAAAACCTAACTCCAGATGGATCAAAGACTTAAATGTGAAACCTAAAACTATAAAGTGCCTCAAGGAAAAACCAGGGGCAAATTTAGAGGCCCTA